TAGACTTGCATTTCTTCACATCTAATCTTTTGCTCTTTCAATGTATTGTCCATTTCTGAGATCTTAATACTAATCTTCTCGATTTCTAATTGGAGGATGTTTGCATTTGATTTATCTGTTTGTTCTTTTAGTGTTCCCTAAATTCTTCTAAACATTTTGCTGTGTTTTCCTTGCTTTCCTCGATCTTTCTATCAATCCTTTAAGGTAGCTAATTTTCTTTTTTTGAATTCATTTTCAGTTAATTCCATTATCTTTTTTTTTTTTCTCAGCTTTGCACACGGTCATTTGTTTGAGCCATTCTTTCTTGTTTCTTTGTGTAAGCTAAAGTTGTCTGTTGTCCCTAGGGCATTGTGGGTTGTCATATTTGTGAAAACAAACAGTGAAGTTGTTGGCTCTGGAGGGGAGAAATATCTGGGGGGCTCCTGCAATTCAAAGAGCTTATGAGATGTTTGTGGAAGGGATATGACAGCAGAGTTCCTATCCCTAAATGCAGTTTTTATTGACTTCAGTGTGATTTATATCCAGTGTACTCAATCTGGAAGTAGTTTATGGGGGCCCTTCATGGACTGGGTTTCAGTGTCTATTAGTACCACAGGACAGCTGTGGGTAGTGTTTTGGGTTAAATGCTGGACGTGTGGTTCTGCGTGCTTTGTAGGTCTGGAGTTAAGCCCACCTGAATACAGACACCAAAGCAGCACAGCTGATCCTCATCTCATACTGGTGTGGCTTCTAACCATGTGGCTCCAAACTCCTGAGGAGGAGGATCTACTCTGGAGGTGGATAATGGTGGGAACTGGCCACATCTCTAATCACCAGAGACGCATAGGACAAAGTAGAAATTGTACCTTTTCTATCACCCATGTGAATCTGCCCTGCTAGGCCTTTCTTTGCTGCCATATCTGCTCACAAGATGGTCAAGCTGAGTGTGCCCAGCCATTCACCAGTCAGTATCCCCTCTCATGTTGTCCCTGATAGGCTTTTCCACCAACCAAGCACTCTGCCCACCTCACTAATGCTTTTTCTGTTGTTCAGGGTGCCATCATTTCCATCTGTGTCTGTTTTATTCTGTCTCTCAAATCTTTATTATGGAGGGTCTGTGTAATGTGTCTGCCTAGTCAACCATCTTGCTGGATGTACAATATTGAAATTTCTATGGGTAAAATAGTGAATGATGAAGAAAATATCCAAAGAAGATGCAAGAAATACAGTGTCACCATACCAAAAAGAAATGGTCAATATTCAGCCATTACAGGAGATAGCATATGATCCCGAGCCACTGGTATGTAAGGAAGAAGTCCAAGGTGCACTGAAGGCCTTGGCAAAAAACAAGGCTCCAGGAATTGATGGAATACAAATTGAAATCTTTCAATAAATTGACGCAGCACTTGAGGTACACACTTATCTATGCCAAAAAATTTGGAAGACAGCTACCTGGCCAACTGATTGAAAGAGATCAGTATCTGTGCCCATTCCAAAGAGAGGTGACCCACTGGAATGCAGAAATCATTGGACAGTATCATTAATATCACATGCAAGTAAACTTTTGTGAAAGACAAACAGTGGCTACAACAATACTTTGACAGGGAACTTTTAGAGGTTCAAGTTAGATTCAGACAAGGATGTGGAATGAGGAATATCACTGCTGACGTCAGAAGGATCTTAGCTGAAAGCAGAGAAAACCAGAAAGATGTTTACCTGTACTTTATTGGATATACTTTTGATTCTATGAATCATGACTAGCTATAAATAACATTGTGAAGAACGGTTATTCCAGAACACTCAATTATGCTCATAGATCAAGAGACAATTGTTAGACGAAACAAGGGGACACTGAATAGTTTAAGATTAGGAAAAGTGTGTGTCAGGGTTGTATTCTTTCCCAGTACTTATTCAATCTGTATGTTTGGCAAATAATCTGAGAAGCTTGATGATATGGGAAAGAACATGGCATTAAGATTGGGAAAAGACTCATTAACAACCTCTGATATGCAGATGAAACAACTTTGCTTGCTGAAAGTGAAGAGAACTTAAAATACTTTTTGATGGAGACCAAAACCACAGGATGCACTTCAATGTAATGAAAACAAAAATCCTCACTACTGGACAAATAATATCATGATAAATAGAGAAATGATTGAACTTGTCGAAGACTTCATTTTTCATGGATCCACTATCAACACTCATGGAAGCAGAAGTCAAGAAATCAGATGATGTATTATATTAAGCAAAGCTGCTTCACAAGATCTCTTTAAATGTTTAAGATTAGTAGGTCAGTTTGAGGATTAATATGGGCTTGACCCAAGCCTC